ACTGTTCATGGTGAGTCATTTCATCAATGTTTAAAACCAAGTTATATGTGTTAAATCACATCATTGTGTTTATTGTTGCAGTGGCATTTTTTCTCTTTAGCTGCATCATTGAACAGAATGATTTAAAACGAATATTTTTTTTTAGTTGGTCATTCATTAGGTTTATCAGATGACCATTTCTCATAATTGAACGCCTGATCATCTTTTCCTATCCGATTAAATGCATCTATCATGAATAATTATTAGTTCTCCTAGAAGTTTGTGTTTTGCAAGTACAAAATATAGATAAAAGTTACTTTTTAGACCAAGTCAAGAAAGAAAGAGCATGTAAAGTCATTTTTCACTTATATTTCTTGTATTATGATCAGCAGATCTGCTATCTTGATGTAGCGTTTTCTCTCCAGAAAGATGCTTCAGCAGCTGTTGGTTTGTGTTTCAGGTGTTTCTGCTGCCGAACGAGATAAAATGAAGGGAACGTCAGTGAAGAAGGGAGAATCTGGTAAAGTAATAACATGGTATTTTAATGACGCGATGGGAGATTATGTGGATGTTATCTATATAAAAAAAGGCATAAAAGTTGACATTTTTCTCAGCTCACAGTGCTGTTTTAGCCTTAGTTTCTATAAAAATACCTACCAGGTGACGCCATTTAGTTAAATCAGTATCATACAACTGATGACCAAGTTGTAGAGAAGTTTTGTTAAATACTGGTTGGATTATCATTCAATCTCTAGTAATAATGAGTGTCTGTCTTCGTCTGTTCCAGATTCAGGTCTGTCTTCAGCTGCTGTAGCAGGAATATGTGCTGCTGTTCTGCTGATAGTGGCTGCAGCTGCTGCTGGTGTGATTTACTATCTCCAGCATCGTCAAACGGCACTGTAGTGAGTATTACATACAGATGTTTTATCAAGATACAAAATTGTGATTTATTGTGTGAAAATAATCTTAAAAGATGTGAAAATGTGTGGTTTTATTGTAGTTAACCAAAGTAATGTGTGTTTAATTGAGTTACAGGAACAGGAACCAGGACTCAGCACAGTAATCAGGTAAGTGTGCACTGTTTGCACTCAATCTGTCTGTCTGCAAAAAACAGTGAATTTACAACAGATTATAACTGAATTTACACTTTTTATTTTAGATTTTAGTATTTAGTTATTTTAGTTGCTCAAGTTAAAATAGATGAAAGTGAGAAATATTTCCTTGGCAATTAACTAAAATTATTTATTTATTTTTAAATATATATCTTTAAATATAATAATGATTTTTTAAAATGTATTTTATTTTATTTCCATCAATACAAATGGTTTTAACTGTAATAACCCTGGTGTTATCAGTCAGTTATATTTTAGTATTATTGATATACTATTATAATTTTTGTTAATATTTTGATTGTGTGATTGTTTTTTGGGGGGGGGGGGTCTCTTGTACTTTTGTATTGTGTAACTTAAACTTCAAGCTTGTTCATTTCTTTTGAACTTTTTAAAGATTTTTTATTTTTTTTTTACAGGTGAATGGTGTTACGTACACCTCTGTTAATAGTTAATCTTGCTGACAATGGATCGGAGCCTGCTGCTACTGAGCCGTCCCAAAGCCTCCCAGTTGTAGAGGTTTATTTAAGGAGCTGAATGGATCCAGACAGAAACAATGAGTGATAATTTTTCTTGTGTAAACAGTTATGCACTGATGTTTTGTCTCATTGTATGTCTCAGTTTTTACATCTTCTTATAACTGTATTTATACAAATACACTGCCAAGACAAGCACACAGCTGCACACTGCAATACACCAGAGCTTTTCAGAGAGGATTTGCGCAAAAATGCAGCTGTCAATCAAACAACATTCAGGCACTGGATTGAGTTTGCACTGCTTATAATGAAGGTGTTGTTACTCGTATAGTTGAAGTTACTGTAAGACTGTTACATATGTTTCCAGTGTGTATGGCTTTTTAAAACTTTAATCAAGAAAGATTGTTATTCGATATGAGCAGCATAGCTTTTTATTTGCTCACCAGCTACTAAACTATCAAACTAGCATTTACTGGTTTTCAAATTCATTGATTTGTTTTAAAATTAATGGAATACTTTCCTGAGAAAACAACTGTATTTCACACCTGTTAACTGGACACATACGTGGTATGGGCTGTGTTGAATGTTGTTTCTCTGGTGCTAAGCTCGAAATAACATTACAGTTTACATGATAAAAATGTGACAACCCATTTTTAAAAGTAATTTTTATTCCTTTTTTAAATTTTATGTTGGTCCAAATATGATCATCTTCATTGAGTTAGAAACTATAGCAATCAGTTTTTGTACTTGAATTGGTGATTAAATGTGATCATTTATGAGCTGTTAAATATGTCACTAGCAAGTTTTTTAAATTTTTTTTATTAGGGAGATGAGGGAGATGTTTTTGTTTGAATGAACCATTGTTTGAAGAGAGATTTAGATAGCGATTTACTAGAGCAGTAAATATTTATTGAATAAAAATGTTATATATTTAATCAATAACAAATATTGAATAATTTGAATTCTAAATGCAGACACTATTGCCTTAAGTATTTTTACAGCTTACTTGAAACAGAATGGAGAGAGTTTTTCAGTTTTAATCATTAATTTTTCCTTTTTTTTTGTCGTTTGACTATCATATACCAGATTTTTTTTTACCCTGACGTTTTATTTAGAAACTAATAAAATTCTTCACTTTTTTTTCTTCTTTTTTTTGTTGGTACAAGACAAAAATTGTTATTGAAGTGACTTAAAGTTGAACCCACACAAAATACTATTTTCTTTAACAAAAAATAAATAAACTTTGTATTTTCATGTGATAAAACATCTGTGAGTTTGTTGATGGCAATTATTTTTAAACTTATTTTCAAATCATGACCTAAAAAGCCAATTTTTTAGGTCATGATTTGAGTGATTATTATGTCTCTGTACTTCTTGGAGTGTCAATTTAACACTCTAAATTTTATTTTTTATATGTACTAGATAATTTATAAAAAGGGATACTGTGTGATGCTGTCATAAAAAAACTCATCAAATAAATAAATTGTAGGGGAATTTACAGTTAAAACCCAAGGACCAGGTGTGTTGAATGAAGACCAGGAGTCAGAGATGCAGTCAATTGAGAAAAAAAAATACTGCAGTTTAATCAGCAGAAGTCAGCTTCAACACTCTCGATGCAGTTCATAAGCCGCTCTGCGTACATGCTCAAGACACCAGCAATTATACTCTTAACAGAGGTTACTAACTACGTCAAAGCATAAGTAAGCAAGATTCTGATTGGTCTCAACATAGATAAACTTAGAAAATCTCCACACATGGACGTCAAACTTGAAGAATATCTTCTAATGATTATTTTGATCTGTTTGGTGACAAGTGATCAGAGGTCAGACGCAATACATCTCTTCAAAGATGTATATCTAATTCCCTGAACATCAGGATAATGGCAGATGAACGTTTCCTCCTGGGGCTGTCTCCACATCGCCCTGCACAGACAGATACTATACGCAGAGAAACACTTATCTTCCTTCAAGGTTGCCTGGCTCAGCCTTAAACCTTATCGGTTCATAACAAACAGACAATGAGAGCAGCTTCTCAGAGTATTATTATTAACTTATTTTCTAACATTCAGACACAGCAACATCAAAAATGTCCTAATCACTTGTTGGTCACATAGATGGGAGGTCCCGATGACCTCTGTGACAGAAGTTCTCAGAGGAGAAGATAGAGATTCTGCATGTAAAAGCTTACTGTTACACATTCCAACGTTTCACTAAAAGGGAGAAAGATATACAGATACATACATTTTGATGTCTAACTACTAATATATGCTATAACTAATTATTTGTGTCTTGATGATTATAGGCACTGAAGAGTGTCATGTTGTAACCGAAACGTTCAAACGTTTTTCACTCTTGTAGTGTAAAGGGCATAGTGTATTTAGCCTATATTGTGGCCAACTTCCTGTTGTGTATGTATTTGTTGTATCCAATACATGATCTATAAATAACTAAAATAACAATTAACATGAAAAACGTGTAAAACTAGCCTTTTCCTGTGTACACTAATGTTTCCTGTTGCATAGTGCTGTGATGCTATTATACAAAACACCAGATGGCGCCACTCAAAATCATGAAAGTAATGACTGTAGTAGAAATGCCTAAATATGAGTCAAAGATATTGATAAAACCAATTGTCTGTCTTTTACAGTTTCAGGTCCTTATAGCAGGAATACACTGATCAACATTAAAACCATCTGCCTAATATCTTGTAGATTCCCTTGTGCTGCCTTGGATTCCACAAGACATCTGAACGTGTCCCATGGTCTTTGGCACCAAGAAATTAAAAGCAGATCCTGTAAATTCTGCAAGTTGCGAGATTATCCTGCTGAAAGAGGCCACTGCCATCAGGAAACACCATTCGTCAAACCAGGCAAACTTCTTCCACTGCTCCAGGTCCAGTTCTGATACTTACATGCCCATTGTAGGTGCTTTCGGTGTTGGACGGCGCTATTTAATGTGACTACAGAGCATAAAGGTATTTACTTTAACATGATGAGTTTATGCAAAGCTGCTTTGAAACAGTGTAGCCTGTTGTAAAAAGTGCAATATAAATAGCCTAGATTTGACTTGACTTTTATGGGCAGCTATATGTCAACTTATCATTGTGATGGTGATATTCTTTTTTGTAGCCAATATTCAGTAGATTCAGCGGATTTAATAAGATTTAGTGTGTGCAGTGCAATGATCAGGTACTGTGTCATTATTGGGACTGTGGTTCCTCTTTGAGAACAGCAGCATGTGTTTATAGCGCTCTCTATCGGGTAAAAGTAGCGCTATTATTAGAGATGGTGATGCGATTATGTGCTTGTGCTGAATTAAAAAATGTCCAAGTGTGTGATTTTGTAATCACTGTGCAATGCACTCGATATTCAGTTAAATTTCCTACAAAGAATAAAACAGAAGCATTAAATGACAGACAAAAGAAGAGCAGGGTGGGATTAACATTTAATAATGACAGTTATGTAAATTTCTATATGAAAAACTAAAGAATATTTTTGTGATACAAATGGTGACATGGCAGGGAATAAATGTGAACAAAAACAAAATGTGTGCGTGAGGTATTGTCCAGTATGCTCTATCAGTTCCAGTAGATAGTATCTGATCATCGTGTTTTGGGGACATTTTCATACACAGTATCCGTCTTTGATTTCTGCAAGAAAACACAAATACAATCAAGAACCTGGTGAATATGACAGAAAATGAATTGCAGATCAACCAAGGTTTCTACAGGTGCATCTCAATAAATTAGAATGTCATGGAAAAGTTAATTTATTTCAGTAATTCAACTCAAATTGTGAAACTCGTGTATTAAATAAATTCAATGCACACAGACTGAAGTTTTGGCTCACATTTAACAAAAACCCACCAATTCACTATCTCAACAAATTAGAATATGGTGACATGCCAATCAGCTAATCAACTCAAAACACCTGCAAAGGTTTCCTGAGCCTTCAAAATGGTCTCTCAGTTTGGTTCACTAGGCTACACAATCATGGGGAAGACTGCTGATCTGACAGTTGTCCAGAAGACAATCATTGACACCCTTCACAAGGAGGGTGATCCACAAACATTCATTGCCAAAGAAGCTGGCTGTTCACAGAGTGCTGTATCCAAGCATGTTAACAGAAAGTTGATTGGAAGGAAAAAGTGTGGAAGAAAAAGATGCACAATCAACCGAGAGAACCGCAGCCTTATGAGGATTGTCAAGCAAAAGCGAT